TTATCAACGTCCAACACAGACCGCTAATCGGCTATTGTATTTATGCCTCACTGTCCGCCGTCGACATGGGTCCTTTGTTAGTGAATCAACTAAGACTCTTCAGCTCTTCTCTCCGAGTCTCGTTCTTGAAATCTCTTAATACTTTTACAAGTACAAGTTTGCCTTGTGTTTTGCATATGTTTGCATTTAAAAATTTATCCTTTTGAATATTACAAACATTGTATCGTGGACTTTGAATATGCTTTTTTTCATGAGACGATTTTTATTCAATTTATCTGATTTTAAAAGTGATTTGTACATAGTAAATATTTTTCGTCTGGGGCCTCCAAAATGCTCGTGAGTAGTCGCCGAGAAGATAGCAATACTTAACCTATGGTAGACCGTTGCCTTTGAATTATGACTGCGGAAGAATGGCTGAGATGGAAGTAAATGAGAAGTCAGGTTTTGGACCTTTTGATCCCACTATCATTCAGACATTCCAACTTTTGGTATTAATTTAATAAATGATAAGCATCTGATGATGTGGCAAGCATAATAACGTTAATGAGAAAAAAGGAGATTTGTATATTCTGTTTTTCTTAAAATCCGATTATCCAACCAGCCTACATGGGGATTCAGTTTTATCTATGGAATATTCGGGAGGTATTTTGAGCACCCAGTATGAAATATACCACACTACAATTTATAGAGTGGAAAAGGACTGGTAGTTAGCATCTGGGATTGTGAAATGCTACTAAAAGATTGTTGGGGAGTTTTATGTGTGGATGGGAATTGAGAAAATAGAAGAAAGGAGATAAAGAACTATAACGGTGAACTATGTTCACTTCAGTATATCTTATCAATCCCAAATGACAGCAAGACTCACAGAAAATTACGTAGTATTTGAGATGCATCATAATTGTAAAAAGTTACTACCTCCGGCTAAAGCTTCTCATTGAAATATGTTAGGAATACTGTACAAGTTCCTTCTTTGTAAGGAGCTTAGTCTATGTGGCAAATTATTTGTTAAGTTTGTTATATTAGTTCGAGACTATTGACTACTTAGTTAGAGTCTTGTTCTCTATAAATACTCGTACAGTTATCCTTGATCAATTAGAATAATCTTTCACTCTCTTTCATACAGTTCTATTTCTCCCAGGTCGAACTCAAGTTCGACTTCTGTTTCTTCTCCAGCTCCTGGAAACATCCATAATTCCATACTTGTCATGGCGGTAAGTCAAGTCGCAACGCCCGCCTAGGCGAATGGGACCGGGTATGGGCCCGGACCGGTGAGAAGGGGCGGGGCGGGTTCGGTTCTGCATTATTGTGACCCGGCCCGGCCGGGTCGGGCCCGGACCCGGGTCCGGTTCTATTTTTTTAAAAAAAAATGGTTTGGGCTCCTACTAGCCGTTGGGGGTGGGGCTGGGGACAACCCAAACGGCTATATAGCCGTTGGGTGGGGTAAAGGGGGGGTCCGGGGGGGTTGTCTGGTGGGGGGGGTGGTGGGGGGGTGGGGGGTAAAAAAACCTATAAATACTCCTAATCTTAAACATTTTTTCATATCTCTTCTCCAATTCTTCCTAAATCCTATTCTTAACTCTCTACTCTCTAATTCTCTTATTCTCCATTCTCCAATATATTATATTTATTATTTATAGTTTATAATAATTATCTACTTATATAAACTATAAATAGATATAAATAGTATTATATTACTTATATTTGTTATCTAATTATATATTACTTATATATTTATTATATCTATTAATATAGTTGGAATTATATCTAATTAATTTGAAGTCATTCTATTACTCCCATCCGAAAGACCGAAAGTCCGAAAGAGGTACGAAATAATTCTATTATTTACACTTGTTTAATTACTAGTTAATTTGCTACATTTGACTCTTGTTTAATAGTTAGATAAATAGTTAATTAGTTTTTTACAATTTTTTATTAATTGCTACATTTGACTCTAGTTTATAAAATATGCTGTACACAAAACTAGTTAACTCACTACTTAATTTGCTATAACTCGAATTAATAGTTAGATAAATAGTTAATTAGTTTTTTACAATTTTTTATTAATCGCTACATTTTTTAGATGGATCGTCCTAGATATTCGGTTGATATGGGTAACCTCGAGCGCAACCGAACGAAAGAGCTTGCGAGGAAGAGATCCCGCAAAGGTAAATCACATATCGGCTCTTCATCTCAAAGTCAAGATGATTTTGATACGGGTTACGTAAGGAGGGATGGGGATGCGATGACCGACGAACAACTAGAACAAGAATTGCACTGACATAATTCCCGCTTTTTTCAAGACCAACCGAGGACCATTGACGAAGAAGAGCTCGAGGACGAGGACGACGATGTGGAGGAAGCAATTCCGGAGAGCCACGACGACGAGGAGGAGGAGGGTGACGGCAGCCATGACGCCGACCAAGCAGCCTCATCCCAAACAGGTACAAAAAAAAGTAAATCTGAATTAATGGCTAATAATTTTTCTAAGTGGAAGGATCCGAACACCGGGAATTGGACCGCAACTTGCAATTGGTGCAAGAAAAACTATAGCTTGGGGATTTCCGGCGGATACGGATCCGCCACAAGACACCTTAAGTCCAAACACCCGGTGAAGTATGCAAAATTAGGCGGCGGAACGGGGAAACAAACGCAAATATCGAGGTTTGCAAATAACCAACAAGCTTTTGGTAATTTCTCATACAATGATGCACAAAATTTGACAGGTATGGCTAACTTACTTGTTGAAGAAAATTTGCCTTATTTATTTTCTGAAAGTCTTGCTTTTCGTGATTATGCACAAACTTGTTTAAATCCGCAATATAGAGGTTATAGTCGCAAAACGGTTAAGAAAGAAATTTCAAGGCTTTATGGTGCAGAAAAGGTAAGGTTACAAAATTATTTTGCAAACTTTGATGGACGTGTTACTGTATGTTCTGACATATGGGAGGATACTTATCATAATTTACATTATTTGGGTCTGACTGTACATTATATTGATAATGATTGGCATATGCATAAACGTGTTCTTGCTTTCCGTGAATTTAATGATCGTCACACCGCTGAACATATTTATATTTTGATTGAACGTATTTTAATTGAGTATAATTTAATTGATAAGGTGTTTGCTATTGGTTTTGATAATGCTACTAATAATACTGCTGCTATTCCTAGATTGCGTGAATTGTGTGGTTCTACTTCTTTGATGGGTAGATTTTTTCATCAATGATGTGCATGTCATGTTCTAAATTTATGTGTGCAAGATGGTCTAAAAGCGTTGGGAGCATCGTTGGAGGTAGTCAAGGGGGGGATTAGACGTATTTGGGGTAATGGACACCTTAGGAAAAAATTGCATGATTATTTGATAGAAAGAGGTGAGAGATACGTGGCTTTTCCAAAAGATTTGTCTATTCGTTGGAATAGTACATATAAGTTAATTAACGTTCTTCTTAGATATAAACAACATTTTCCTGCTTTTATGAAACAATATGATAACTATATTATAAACTCGACTGAGATCGACACCTGTGAAAAAATTTGTAATGCTTTGATATATTTTAATAATGCAACTGAAACTTTTAGTCATGTTTATAAACCTACCTCAAACCAATTTATTCGTGAAGCTGTTAATCTCGCCGGTGCTTTTTCAAATTTTGAGAATGCTGATTATGTGAGTTATTTTGCTGGTTTTATGAAGGAAAAGTTTTTAAAATATTATTCACATATTCCGTATATTTATGGTATTGCATTTGTTCTCGATCCTCGTTTTAGACTTGGTTCTTTAGAAGAATGTTTGAATTATTATTATGCTGCTTTTTTGGTCCATTGCCAATGTATGAGGACAACCCAATTGATCCGAAAAAGGAATACAACGAGGTTAGTGATATATTTTATGCATTATTCAATGAGTTTCATGCACAATATGGCAATGCGCCCCCTCCCCCGACACAAACATCATCTAAAGGAAAATCAATTTTCAAATCTACGTTTGCCAATCTTATTAAAAAAATAAAATCAACTCCCGCTACACAACGAAGCACAATTAATGAGATTTCTTTGTATTTAACTTATGATGTTGATTTTGAAGAAGATGATGATTTTGACGTACTAAACTGGTGGAAGGGAAAAGAAAGAATGTTCCCGGTTTTAGCAAAGATGACTAAGCAAGTGCTATCAATGCCGGTTTCAACGGTTGCCGTGGAACAAAAATTTAGTTTGACCGGCAATGTTCTAACACAAACCAGAACGAGGTTGAGCGCTGAATCTCTTGAGATGCTTATATGCTACCACGATTGGTTGAAAGCAGCACGTAGAGCTCAAGAAATTGACATCACTCCATCCCAACACTTTATGGATGAATCTACAGAGGGTGGCTCTACTTATGCCGGAGATTCCGATTAAAAACAATTATAGTTCCTATTTAATTTTCAAATGTAGTTTCTATTTCATTTCAAATAAATGCACTTGAAGTTTGTTTTTTAATACTTGTATAAAACTATAAAGTATAAAATATAAATTAAAAAAAATTAACCGGCCCGGCCCGGCGGGTGGCCTGACCCGTGACCCGGGCGGGTGGCCCGGCCCGAACCGGACCCGTCCAACCCTCGGGCCGGTCCCGGGCCCATGTGATACGAACCGGCAGCCCGGGCCCGATCCGGCCCGAATCCATCCCTAATCCATACTTGTCATGGCGGTAAGTCAAGTCGCAACGCCCGCCTAGGCGAAAATTAGGCGACTATTCGCACATTCTATATTATATACTTCGTATATATGTAGTATATATATATATATATATATATATATATATATATATATATATATAATATATTACTAATTAAATAGGATTTATTTATATATTACAAAAAGTAAAGTACGCATTTTATTATATATAATAGTTTTTTATTAATAGTTTAACACTTTATTATTTTATAACATATATAATAAATTAATAATTAATAATGTACTGAAGCAAATCTGAAACTCAGTATCGTGACAGTATATGTGGGTGTAATTGGGCATATCATGTTTACAAAACACTTTGTATATATGTATATATACACATATACAACTTAATTAATTAAAATAATACTCAGACCAAAAAAAATATAGAACGTACTGGTCTCCTCAGCGCGGGGAGGGCGAGACAAGTGAGCTCTCCTGCTCCCTGTAGTTGCTGCGGTTCGTTTGATTCCTCCGACTCGTCTGGCTTGTCTCTACGACTTGAGTTAGACGACGATGGTGACAAAATAGCTCGTAAGATTATCAGAACCCTTTGGGCTTTGTTTTCAATTAAAAGCCTAAATCTATTTTTTTTCCTGGGCCTGCGGACGGTTGTTGGACTGGCAAAAAAGGCGACGACTTGTCGCAAAACCGCGCCTGGGCGACGCCTGGAGGACGCCTATCGCGACTATTCTTCTTCTGCCGAGGCCAGTGAAGACAGCGAGCACTACCTAGCGCCAGGACGCCTAGTCGGCGACGCCGTGACAAACTTGGAAACATCTCGTTTCCAGCAACATTTAATCGTCCTCTTCCTATCAAGCTTGATTCTAATAATTTTCTCCTGTGCAAGCATCATGTTGAATCTGTAATTCGTGCTCAAAAACTTCTCAAGTTTGTTGAGAAACCTGAAATTCCTCATAAGTTCGTAGCTGGTGAAGATGAAGGAACTGAAATTGAGAATGATGCCTACGCTATTTGGGAGAAACAGGATCAGATGGTGTTTTCATGGCTTCTAGCATCTCTTTCTGAGTCTCTTCATGCTCGAGTTATTCATTGTCAACACTCGCACCAGCTATGGAGTGAAATACACAAGTTCTTTCAGACGAACTTTGTGGCCAGAGTCCAGAGCTAGGCAGCTCAAATCTGAACTGTATTCTACTGGAAAAGGTGGTCCTTCTTTACTGATCTTTGTGTCACCTGGAATTCAAATCTACATTCTCATATATGTTGATGACATTCTAGTCATTGGAAATAACTCTGAAGCCATTCAACAACTGATTCATAAGCTGCATTCCTCTTTTTCTCTTAAACACTTGGGAGATATTGATTTGTTCTGAGGAATTGAGGTCAGGAGGCTCTTTGATGGCAGTTTGCATTTGTCTCAAGCCAAATATGTAAGAGATTTACTTCATCAAGTTGGAATGATAGACTCAAAAGGAGTCAACACTCCTATGCTCAGTAACGGCAAGCTTACTCATCAAGGCAGTGACCCATTACAAGATCCTTCTGCCTACAGGTCCATAGTTGGAATTTTACGATATGCTACCTTAACCAGACCTGAAATTAGTTATGCTGTAAATAAGGTGTGCCAGTTAATGGCCACACCTTTACAAGACCACTGGAAAGCTGTCAAACACATCCTAAGATATCTCTCTGGCATTACTACACATGGCATTCTCATCAAACCTCTGTCTTTATCTACTACACCTCTGCCTATATCAGCCTTTTGTGATGCTGATTGGGCTTCTGATCCAAGTGGCAGAAGGTCTACTTCTGGGTCTTGTATTTTTCTTGGCCCTAATATCATCTCTTGGTGGCCCAAGAAACAATTGTGTGTGGCCAGATCATCAGCAAAGGCTGAGTATAGAAGCCTTGCAGACACAGCAGCAGAACTATTATGGGTCCAGTTCTTGCTAAAGGAACTTCAAGTTCCTTTTCATACTCCCAGAGTTTATTGTGACAACCTAAGCACAGTTCAGCTAGCTCATAACCCTGTGCTTCAATCTCGGATTAAACACATGGAGATTGATCTTTTCTTTGTCTGGGAAAAAGTTCAATCTAAGCAGCTTGCAGTCTACCATATTCCAGCTCTTCATCAACTTGCTGATGTCCTGACTAAACCATTATCAGCCTCCTCCTTTCTTGATCTGAAAACCAAACTTAGTGTGACTGATTTTCCAAATCAATCACCCTAATTTTGAGGGGGGGATGGTAGGAATATGGTACAAGTTCCTTCTTTGTAATAAGCTTAGTCTATGTGGCAGATTATTTGTTAAGTTTGTTATAATAGTTCGAGACTATTGACTAGTTAGTTAGAGTCTTGTTCTCTATAAATACTTGTACAGTTATCCTTGATCAATGAGAATAATCTTTCACTCTCTTTCATACCTGTTCTATTTCTAATAAAAAATGACAAGGTTATTTAAATAAGGTTATTCGAGTATATTTTGAAAAACATTGTTGATGGATATATAATATAATGAGGTCATTGATTGGTAACCTTTAGCTAAGACGTCCAAATGAGGCAAGTGAGAAACTTAAGTTGGAATGGAGGGAGTAATAACCAATTGACTAAGATTGCTATGGAAGAAATCCATGGATAATCTGATAAGATCTATCCCTAGTAACTACTACCAAATAAAAACCACACAACTCAGCTGTTTTTTACTCGACCTGAATTTAGTCCTGAACTTTCCTCGATGATATCAGTTGTTTATGAAGCATAGCATGAGCATAAAAATTGTCGGGCTGTTATTTTCTCAACTAATAACCCAACAGAGATACAGATCTAAAAATTAGATATCCATGGACAACATAAACTCAACACGCATATTGCATATATGCAGCAAAAAATAAGGGTACAGAAAATACACAAGAGGTAGACAGAGAGAATCTGTTTAAAAAAAACTAAGTATTTGGTGCTCTATAAGATACGTTTAACATTACACATCTGTACAAGTGGACTTACTTTTAAATTTGCTCGCGACTGCTTTAATCCATCCTCTGTCTTGACTATCATAAGCAAAACTGTTACCAGAAGCTACCAGGACGAACCCATCATTCTTTGCAGTGCCCTTGTAACTTGAATAAGAACATGGAAGCGGCTGTACTAGAAGAGATTGAGTCCCCTTGGGAAGCAGCTCCTGAATTGGAGAATCTGGAACCAGACATTCTTTTTAGTTGATTCTAGCTTGAGAAGTGACAATTTAGTCTTCAAAAAATATACAGACTCAGTGAAGTGAATAGCATGCTATAGCGGCATAGCGGAGCGTAGGAGTCGTTGGGCACCACAAGACCACCTGTAGCATTGTGTTTGTCTCTTGCAGGAGTAATGGTGGCTATAGCAGGCGTTGTAGCGGGTGTGGCAGACACTACAGTTAGGCTTTTACTAGTGCAAGTTTTGTTTTCAGAAGCATCAAGGGTAACGTAAAGTTTTTTAAAATAAATAGTAACCAGCATAAAACCCTTCTATATACATAAAACCCTTAAAATCCGCTCCACCTTTTGAAATTATTTCTTCTCTTCACTACTGTTGCAATTCACACCTGATACAATTACAAGTATCTGATGATTCTGATTCTATAGTTCATCTTCTTCAAGAACCTCTGATGCGTCATCTTCTACAAGAACAACATCTGCTGCACTCCTTTTTGCTTTTTCAAGTAGTGCCTTTTGCTGCTTCATCTTCTACAAGAACAACCTCTGTTGCACTCATTGTTAGGGACCCGGACACTACCATAAATAAGAGTCTTATTAAGTAATTTTTATATTGTTCAATAATAGGGTTTTAGGCCAAATAACATAGTTGAGGCTTGGCCCTTTAGGGGAGTATTATATAAGAGGGAGTAAGGGGAAGAATAAGGGGGGCAGAATTTTGGGATCGGGGCTGGGATTTTGGGAGTGCGAGACCACTCAAAGCGTCTCACGTTCTTCTCTCGTTATTTTCTGTTTTCCGTCATTAAATCTTCATCAATATACTACGAATTTACACTGTGATTGTTACGTTACCTATCACTCATCTTCTTTGACTCTTCTGAGTAGTGTCTTCTGCACTACTCTTCTTTGCTTCTTCTGAGTAGCATCTTATGTTGCCTTCATCTTCTACCAAAACAACCTCTGAACAACTGCATAAAGCTTCCAACTCTAGGGGAAAGAGCCGCTTGGTGGAACATGTTGAAGATGAAGAACAGACAAATGTGGAGGAAGAACTTTACAGTAGCCATAGTAGTGAAAATGACAAAGAAGATGAGATAATGTTAGAAGAAGAAGAATTCGATGAGGAGCAGTGGTGAATGATGAACTAAGAAGGGGCCCTTGGATCTAAATTTTATGAGTGCTACTTTATCAAGACTTGAACCAGAAACTTGTTTTTGATTCAAGACTTAAACCAGAAACTATTTTTGATTTAATGTTTAGACTTGAGCTGTTTTAATTATTACGGAGTAATAGCATCACTAGGGAGTATTCGTAGGTAACTTAAGATTCATGAATGTCAAGATGTTTGAAACTTTCAGTAAACTATACTACTTCCGTTCTCTTTTAATTGCAACATTGGACTTTTTGCACTATTCACATATTCTACTTTGACTATATTTTATTGATTAATGTATTATAAATTAAATTTTTAAAAAATATTGTTAAATTCTTCTCATTCTAAATTTTCAAAATATGATTTTTTTAAATTTTTTACTAGTAAGGAATGAAAGATATTAATGGTCAAACTTGTGCGTTGGCAAACGTGAAATGTTGACTGTTGCAATTAAAAGGGAACGGAGGAAGTATCATTTTTTAATGATATGTGTATGCAATGTAATTATATGCATACATATAATATGTATTTTGCATATATAGTCTCTGAATAACGGTCATCCCGCTATCCGGTATAACGCTATAGCGTTTTCAGGGTTGGCCACTACGCTCCGCTATCCGGGATTGACAACACTGCAAAGACTGCGACTTAGGTTCTTTTTGTTGGAGAAATTTGGAGGGTTTCAAAACGGAAGGCTATTAAAGGCTTAGTGCCTTAGTCAATACTTTGACAAATAGATTTCTCTTAACGAAGAAAAGGTGATAGAAATGTTATGCCATCACATATTAATATATTCGAGGGTACATAAATATACACATATATTTACGCACACACATAAAGTGTACGGTTCAGGTCAGAATAACTTTTTTCATGAGAATTGAGAATGGTGCAAAATGTTGTGCATTCTAATTCATGGCGGTACAGTTTGGAGTGGCAAAAAGAGTTAAGTTTGTTTTAAAAAATGTCACCTCATTTTTTATTCATAACAGTGCACATTTTTGTCTCATATAATACACAAGTGTCAAATCTACGCACCAAATCTATTTTAATTTCTCCCATTAGATATTTAGATGACACTCACATTTTATCCAAATACAAATGTATACATACATAAATATATAAATAGCTACATGTGTAGGCATACATATACTTATACATACATATATACATATATGTTCATGTACATACACACACACACACACACACACATAGGAGATGGTTTATGTAAGAACTATCTTATGATAAGCACTACTTCTTATAGTAACACTTCTGATCTGAACTAACGGTAGTATCATTCAATAGTTTGACAGAAAAGGTGGCATTCTTGTGATATACTTCGTATATCGGAAATGCTTAGAAAATTATATATTTGAGATTTTGTATATGGAAGGTTTTGGAGGTCTACGTCTATATCTTCATTAATCAATTAATGTACATTTGAGGTTTTATATATAAAAAATGCAATAACATAATAGGTGATTATAAATTAATCACCCGTTATTCGTTTTTAGAAAAAATATATTTTTAAGACATACCGTCTTCGAACACAATCTATATTTATGATTTTCCAAGTCTTCAAGAGAGAGAAAAATAGCACAATAAAACTAGCATTCTTGGGAACCAAGGTGATTTAAAATTTAGGAACTAATACCATTGCAGTAGGACAAATCATACCTGTAGCTTCAGTGAAATATAGTGTATCCTCCAACTTTAAATAACCAAGCTGCAGAATTTGTTTTTCAAACCAATTACATATATCAGCTTTTGACATATCCCGTGGAGTTTTCCAGTAGCCACGCACACACAGTGCATCTTGTGTTGTGATAAGCTACAGTATTGTTGGTGCAAAATGGCAAAAAAAAAATTAGCAGACCCAACACGGCAAAGGATAATGAGATTACTTATAGGCAAGCACTGCATACCACAGATATAGTGTTTGTATTTCGCAGCAAAGCATATGTTCCCCAAGCCAAATCCTCCATCAAAGCATCGGGAACATTTTGCGAGATGACAAACATTTGGTCCGCGTCTTCTAGAAGATTCCTTTCATCGCGTAGAGCAGCACCCTACAATCAATGATATAACAGATGTTATGTTATACAAAGTAAGCACCAAATATTAAAAGTGGAACAACTTATGCTCCTGAGTATCTGACTTATAATCTGTTTCATTTTGAAGACTCTACAAAGATGGCTGATACTTCACTTTCTGGAAGGAGAACTAGAACAGTATTTAATGTCCATCATAATATATTTACCTTGCTAAGTTGCTAACTCAAAACAAAAAAGGCAGAAGCTTTTACCTAGAAAATATTTGTTTTGTGGTTCCAGACTTCCAAAAAAACACTTAACTATAATAAGCTATAAATTTGATCATTGAAAACAATGTAGTATCTTTTATTAAGTGCCTGAGAATAAAAAGAAATGAGAATAAATACCTATCAAAATTAACACGCACACATAATTTGATTATTTCAGAAAATGGAATTAGCAACGGGAATTACCTTCAGAAATCTCCCAATGTAGGGGATTACAACAGAAAAGGCAGCAAGAAAAAGACCTAGAACTTCTGTTCTCTGTAGAATATATGAATATAGAATGTTGAAGTTATAAAATCATCAAAAACGTGATTACAATAAATACATCAGAAGCGTATATCTTAATCTAATAAGAACTCTATAAGATATAACAAGTACCATTGCATAAAGAGATCTATCTTTCCAAAAAAATACAAAAGATCGAGCTTACCATCTGGGCTGCGGTAATAGTGGATGAATCCGAGTCTGTAAAGTGATTCCACAGTAACAACGAACCAAATGCGTACCCTATATATCTCGGTAAGAACGATTCATCCAGTCCAGGTATTCCTTTTCTCGGAAGATAAATAAAAATTACTGCTTTCAGATACATGATTGTAATTTAGAAAATATGAAAGCGACGCACCGGTATATGAGTGTATATGTACATACCGAGGGTGAAACGAAGAACAGAGAGCTTGAGATGTTCCTGTTCGGTTTTGGAGCTTCCGAAATTGTTGCCCACACGGTTACAGCAAACTTTAGGAGACGGTTTTCGTATGCCATAGCGGAAATTTTCCGGCGGGCGCTGATATTTGTCACGGCTTCTAGAAGGGAGCGGAATAAACAGAGCGAGTGGGAAGGACCTGCTGCTCATTTCTTCGCTTGAAGCAGATGAGGGACGATGCTCCGGTCGCAACAGGCGGTGGCCTTGATGATATATGTGAGGTGTCTTGTTCGTCTTGGGTGTACAAGTTGTAGTCTTCTAAAGGTTTATTCATGTCTGAGAAGATATAAATATGTGTCTCACCTATTAGCTAAGTTCCAAGTTCCATCTTAGCTAAGTTTGAAGTTCCATCTTCAAGCTCTTAAACCTGTTCATACCCCTCTATTTGACCATGATTTGACCTAATATTACATTTTTTGTTCACCTGTTTTCCCAATTTATGCATGTTTCACGTACTTCCCATATCTTGGCTGTTAAGCGCATTTTCATGTACCTTCAAAGCATCCTAGATCACGGCTTGCTGCTTCAGCGAGATACTACTTCTCCCATGGTAAAGGCCTATTCAGATGTTGATCGGGGCGGATGTCCTGACAGTAGCCGCTCCACGTCTAGGTTTGCTGCTTTTTGGGCCCTAATTTGATCTCTTGGACGTCCAAGAAACAACCCACTGTTTCACTAGTGCAAAAAAGGTCTTTTACATCTCCTTATCTACATGTGGTATCCCATAACCCATGTAAAAAACTGGCACGAGGTCTTTTTTAAATTTTTGTAAAATTTTTCACATCAATTGTCATTATAACCGATGTTAAATAGTGAAACGGGGTATATTTTGAAATTATATTAAATCTTCTGCATCGGTTGCTTGTGGAGCCAATGTCAAAAGAAAAGCGGGGTAAATTTTTGGATTAATGAAAATTTAGTTTACATCGGTTAAGGTCGATGTACAAAAAAGAATAAAGAAATTTGCTCGGTACTTCCAGGTTATAACAGATCTGGATAGATTTGAAGTTATGGTACGTTCGTCTTTGGAATCCACCCATAGGTAAACCTAGCCAAACTTCATCTAGCGAGAGCATCGACTAGCTCAGTCCTGTCGGTGTACTTTTGCTGCGATTGACGCGACGGTGGAGTAAAGTTACTCCGTCTTCGACATCGAATGCAGGTTCCCACTTCGTGCCTTCATAATCAGACGGCGAGCGAGAAGAGCTGTAGGTCGGCGTTCAAGAGAGCGAAGCGATAGTACGCCTTTCGAGAGAGCAAAGCAGTAGGAGCCGCCGTTCAACATCAGTGGTGTTTTCCTGTGGCGTCCGTCCAGAGTAGCGAGTTTACACCAGGCCAACAATTTGAGTCACCATCGCCGCAGGTAAACTGTCCGTTGTTCGAATTTGGACCAGAACCATAATCATGTTTAGATTTCTTTCTATCATAATACCTTGAAATATGTTTAGGCCACAGGTAGAAGCATATATTTATGCTTTATTTACAAATTGTGTATTACTGTTTGCCTCTTCTATTTCATTCGTTACCTGTCTATGTGCTATTTTGGCTGCAGTGTGAAAGTACTACCAATGTCCCTTTGGCTATGAACGCTTTTGAAATGATTACTCTCTGTCAACGGTTTATGGTTTACGGTGTCATTATTGTTTGACAGGTACATTGACAACCAAAGTTCATGTCTTCTCAATTTCTCATCCTCTTTACCATGTTTTCTAGTTGGATAGTTGCCTTTTATTTATTTGTGTCAATTGAATCTTGGCACTAACATTTTGTCACAGACTCGTAGAAGGTAGTTTAGCTCTAATAGTTGATGATTATGCATTACAGTTGAAGTTCTACAAAAATAAACTTCTAATTTGCATTTATTTTCTACCTCCTTCAAGTAAAACTAGGCTTTGTTGTATCTGAAAGAAGCTTACCCGTTTTGTATTTCTTTTGTTGTATCTTTGCTATTTCCTTTTTTCCTTCAAGATTTTTGTCAAACAGCAAACCCATTTTGTATTACCGATTCGGATAAACTGTTGAGGGTATTTTCTTTCCAGAGTTGTATCTCTTGAATACCATTGTAGCTTATTTTATTATAAATACTTTGACTGACTCAGATCAAATGTGTATATGCAAACATGGACAGGTTTGCTATTGCATTAGAGGTGTGAATTCTGACCTCAGATCCGAACTTTGTATTTTATGTATGCAACTGTGCAAAAACTAACTACGTTATTGTCTTGCATTTTAGAATGACTATCAAAGAAGTTGGCTTGTCCGATATGTTACTGAATTTGTTCGCTCAGTGCTTGTGTAGAAAGCCTTGAGTAAAGTTATTTTCTTTGGCTGATGTTCGAGTTGGTTTTGTATTATTTATTTATTTTCGACTTTATCTGATAAAAACTGGTCATGATGTGAAGTTTTGTCTAGTTGTACTGCTTCCCAGTTGATTTTTTCTTTTTGCTGGCTTTACAGTTCTAAACCACCATCACCCATCTTATACTAGTAAGATATGAAGAGTGATATTAGTGAAAGCAGTATTAATTTGTATCTTGACAAAGACCTTGATGCAACAATGGATTCATTGGACAATTTATTTTTCAGATGCCTTGTAAGTAGTATTTATTTTGAACTTCATTTACTTCATGAACTGGATTTTCTTAATCTATTTCTTGCAGATGCCTTGCAAGTACATATTTTGAACTTCATTTTTTATCTGGATACATTTTGAATTTTTGTGTGTGAGTCACTGTGATCTCTTAATGGCAGAGGATGGATGGCAGTATGTCACAAAACCCACCAAGCCATTCTACTATATAGCACCAGCATGACTGCCATTTAACATTGGTGGTGGTTCCCGTTTATAAGACATCATTAGTAAGTTTAATCATGTGGTGGTGATTCTAAGGGCGTGGTATGGTCTGTTTTGGTAACACTTTAATAGATATCTTACTCCTTTTACACTTAACACTTGAATTGCCTTTGACTCACTAATGTAAGTTTAATTTTTTTGTGAATGTGTTCTTTCACCTTTAGTGCAGGGAATATATATATATATATATATATATATATATATATATATATATATATATATATATATATATATATATATATATATATACACACATATACATATATATATACATATATATATACACACATATATATACACATATATATATACATATATATATATATACATATATATATAGGGGTGAGATCACATACAAACCATGCTTAATTTACTAACCTACAAACTCAATAATATGCAACACTTTGAACTTCAATATGCAGTATAAATAATGTAAAGATGCACTATTTGAATTTCAGTATGCAATACAAATAATGTAAAAATGAAACTGCTATTTTATGGCTTGAATAATATGAAACACGTTGAACTTCAATGTGCAACACAAATAATGTAAAGATGATTTGAATGGGAGGACTAATTTTTATGTGATCACACCCCTACATCTTTAATTATTTTTACTGCATATTGAAGTTTAAAGTGATGCATATTATTGAGTTTGTAGGTTAGTATTTTAAGCATGGTTTGTATTTGATCTCTTATATATATATATATATATATATATATATATATATATTCCCTGCACTAAAGGTGAAAGAACGCATTCACAAAAAAATTATATATATATGAGCATGAACAACAAAATTACCACAAGAACCCCAAATACAAACCCAGTTCCCACAATAAACAGATGTGAGTAGTTACTCATTACACCATATGGAGATATATATATATATATATATATATATATATATATATATATTTTGTGGGTATTTATATATATATATATATATATATATATATATATATTTTGTGGGTATTTATATTTATATATATATATATATATATATATATATATATATATATATATATTTTGTGGGTATTTATATATATATATATATATATTTTGTGGGTATATATATATATATATATATATATATATATATATATATATATATATATATATATATATATATATCTCCATATGGTGTAATGAGTAACTACCCACATCTGTTTATTGTGGGAACTGGGTTTGTATTTGGGGTTCTTGTGGTAATTTTGTTGTTCATGCTTGATGGAGTTATGGAACTAGGCCCAGAGCCTAATCAGCCCAAGCCCCGAACTTGGACCCGTGGATCCAAGTCCACAACCTGGAGTCTGCCTGCCAGCTCAGCGGGGAGCCTGCCAGTCCGGTCGACCTCCCAGCCCGAAAGAGTAACGGTCAAACAATTAATGCGCTATTAATTATGTATTTAATTCCGTATTAATGTTGTAATTAATTAGTCATTATTATCGATAGCAGTTACGATTTGTATACGCCTATAAAAGGCGGGTTGTAATTCAGATTAGGGAAGCGATTTCTAGATGCTATTTCTGGCTAACTTTCCATATTCGTACTTTCCTAATTCTTGCTTGAGTGTCGTACGTAGCTTTCCTAAAGCCTACGAGCGTCCTATTTTGGACCAACAATGCTCATAGTCATTGGACTTACATATTGTGTGCTAAAACAATGTTTTGCTATGTTGATGCTTCTACTATTGATGCCAGGATAACAAGACATGAGGCTTGAGTCCATTTTTTTCTTATTTCTGTTGCTTCCTCCTCTGTAGTGTGTATGCTCGGGTCATTATTATGTTAAGCAAGATAAAACACATGGCCATGCTTTTATGCTGAATTTGAAATTGCTCATTAAGGAATCATTACAGAGATTTGAAGCTAAGGAACCTTTAACCGGCCTCTGAGCACATAATGGATGCAGTTGTAACATTAATTTAAGTGTTTTGTACATTCCGTTTTATTTAATTTTTGAATATATATTGAGATATTACCCGAAATAGGACTAAAACAGTTTGAAAATTCCAAAATAGGACTGACATGTTTTTATTCCCAAAATAGGACTAATTATTGCCATGTTATGGCAGTACCAAACTTCAAACATGGCAGTATTTTCTAAACATGCCAGTAATTAGTCCTATTTTGGGAATAAAAAACATGACAATCCTATTTTGGAATTTTGAAACTGTTTTAGTCATATTTCGGGAATTTTCCCGTATATATTGTATATCTTAATTACATAAATAATTTATTATTATATATATTTAATATTATAAATTACATAGTGAGATGGAGGCAAGCCGTAGGCTCAACTCAAGTAAGGGAAGAGTGAAATGGATTATTCCTATGGTAAATACTTACTACTTTACTTTGTATGTTATTTTTACTTTAATTTGTGTAGCACCAAGTCGAATACCGTAATTCCTGATTAGTAATTATGTTGTTCTAATTTGTAGTCTCGGATGCAAGTTGGGAGTTATGAATGTGGTTATTATGTGATGTTGCATATGTTGAATATTATTTCGGCGGTAATTCTT